ACGATCCAGGTGTCAACTCGACCTATTTGTTTTGGTATATTTTAGTTACTGTTGACGCTAGACGATCCAGGTGTCAACTCGACCTATTTGTTTTGGTATATTTTAGTTACTGTTGACGCTAGACGATCCAGGTGTCAACTCGACCTATTTGTTTTGGTATATTTTAGTTACTGTTGACGCTAGACGATCCAGGTGTCAACTCGACCTGATTTGTTTTGGTATATTTTAGTTACTGTTGACGCTAGACGATCCAGGTGTCAACTCGATCCATTTGTTTTGGTATATTTTAGTTACTGTTGACGCTAGACGATCCAGGTGTCAACTTGATCTATTTGTTTTGGTATATTTTAGTTACTGTTAACGCTAGACGATCCAGGTGTCAACTTGATCTATTTGTTTTGGGATATTTTAGTTACATCGTTTAATTCAGTATGTCACTTCGAGATCACTCTGAATCTAAATTGTTTGTCTCTTCGTGTAGTGAAAGCTTCATTTCCGAGTCAGTGTTTTCATCGAAGAAAACAATGAAATTATGTCAAATGTGTAACTGTTCCTCTGAATTCATTTAACACTGGACATTACAGCATCATTACTAAATTACACACATAACACACACATCGTTTCTTAGCCAAGATTGAGTTTATTACTTTCAGGCATGAGGCCTAAATCCATAATGTTTTCCAGTTCACTGGCGAGCAAAATATGACGACATGTCTAACAACATGTCCTTATACATTTGTTCTGAAACTCAAACTTACTCTTAAAATAAACTCTTCGTTAGAATTCTCATTTCTAAAACTTCTTCTGTCTTTTTTTTTTTAATTGTGTTATTTTATGTCGCGCACTATCATGTGAACGATAATCGTCAAACTGTGTATGGAGATCTAAAAATATCAGTGTATAAAGACACTAAAAGAACGTGCACTGCTTTGAAGCAGTAATATTCTTCCAATAACATAATAAAATAAACAAAACTCCAACGGAATTAATAGGGGGAGTGGAGGATAACTAGGTTATGAAAGAAAGACTAACATGTACCGGACGCACGCTGTTCTTGTTATCGTATTATTTACCTGTATGTACGCACTAACTTACTTACTCTCACACATACACACACAATTAGTTCATGTGTCTGTGTTGAAAGTACGTGATATCCACACTTAACATCACCACTACAAATCGTCAGCTTGTATGCCATTACAGGATCGTTTACAAATCGTCAGCTTGTATGCCATTACAGGATCGGACGTTGTAAGAACGTCAACGTAAAATAATTTATTATTCTATTTTCATTGTATTGACGTTGTACTTGTTTTCATTAGTTCGTTGCTGTACCCCTCCATCCCAGGTGTTGAAAACATTTAATCCATAACTCAATGACCTTTACAAAATTTTAGGTAGCACGTAAACTTAGAGAATTAGCTATATTATATAAATCAAACAATTCAGTTCAAATGTAACACAAATGATTCCTCAACAGAATGTACCCCCCCCCCCCAATAATGTCTATACTTGGGTAGCCATAATTAAAAAATAAACTCTTCACAGTCAAGCTCATATATATATATTTACTTTTCTGCTAGAAAGCTCCCACGCTGTTATTTGAGGTTAGAGTATCACGTACTCCTGACGTTACAAGTAGTCGGGTCCGTACAATAGAATACTTTTCAAACTTTGAAAGCGTGGTGTAATATGCAGTCTAGCTCAAGTGAATCGAGACGACCGAGGCTAAGTAATAATTTATAGGCCAGAAAACCCAAAATGCAAAATAGATAAATTTCAGATTTCAAAGTAACAGCCACGCACGTGTCACCTGGAAATTGCAACCAAAACTACTTTAGAAACCATTTCACGTGACGATCCCTACACGAGCCAGCTGTCAACCTGCTGAATTCTTCGACCTCGTGACTAGAATTGGCAGGAAGCCAGAGACAAAACTTTCAGCTGTTTGTGAAGTCGTGCCTAACACACGTATAATAACAATTCTATAAATCGTTTTTTTTTGTTTTGTTTTTTATGGACAGAGCACTGTACTACCTTGATTTACATAATAATCACCATACATAAAAAAGGCATTCTATATAACTAGGATAATTTGCATTTGTTGTTATGGTATCAACAGTGTGCAGTTGAAAATATTTACGGTACAACGTCAACGTAAAATATTTTATTATTCTATTTTCATTGTATTGACGTTGTAAGAACGTCAACGTAAAATATTTTATTATTCTATTTTCATTGTATTGACGTTGTAAGAACGTCAACGTAAAATATTTTAGTATTCTATTTTCATTGTATTGACGTTCTAAGAACGTCAACGTAAAATATTTTATTACTCTATTTTCATTGTATTGGTCACAACCTTATGTTTTTAAAATATGTATCCCAGTGTAACCTAATTGAAAAATTACATATTTACACTAAATGGACGATTCCCCCTCCCTCCTCCCCTTTTTTTTGCTCGGAGGAATATCCTAAGGCTTATTAAAACAGAGTATTGGTGCTACTGACGTACAGAAGAAACGTTTTGAAGACATTACATAGAAAAAGAACAGTGAAAATAACAGTAAAACAAGAATGATCACAGAAAGTTTATGCATTACAGACACACCCACAAAATTTTTAGGTCTATATATTTGTAAGATAGTTTCAAATCTTGCCTCGCAATAATTTTAGTGCAATCATTACGCTGTGAAGTACTAATTTTGAACGATTTGGACACGCTTCGCCGTCTATCGTTATCGGCAAATAATGTATAATAATTTTTATTTTCTTCGACAAAAATGTTTTCAGTTGAGAAAATAAATAGGCAGTAACTGTTGTATGATAAAACAGCAATATCACCGTTTAATAGGGGAAATACACGTTTGTCTAAGTAAATGTGTAATAAATATATGTTACATGATGTATTATGTTTTTACCACTTCAGTCTCAATTGTCGAATGTTTGTGCTATCTTAAAATCGTTAGATTCAATGTGAGCTTTCATTTCGTACATATTTTGGTTGTACACGTGAATGTCATCGATTTAAT